CGGGAAGGTAGGGGTGGCCTTTTATTTTTAAGATCTGCTCATGTCAGTGCCCCCTCCATCAGCCAGACTTTTAAACTCCTTCATTCCAGTGACGGGATGCTTCTAAAACTTTGCAAGGAAGGAGGAAAAAGGGAGATGGGTTGACATAAGAGAGGTGCTGAGGGCATTTTCAGTTTGATTCCAAGATACAGTACTGCTCTTGGCACCCCAAAATATGTATCCAAGACGTTTGGGGTGTGTGTGTGTTTGTGTGTTTGTGTCTGTTTGTGCACGTGCATGCCATTAAAACCAGTGCAGAGTTCCTCTCTTTTTTTAAATTGCCACTTTGCATGCAATTTGGACAAAATTTAAAATGATAAAGGAGTTTGTATTGTGGGTAGAAAGAAAGGCTAAGCAACAGGTAATAGAGAAAGAGGATTTTTAAAAAACCTCCTACATCCCTAGTGTGAGTTACTGTATTCCCACCTTCAAGTTCTATGTTCATAGACTATGCTTCCCATGTTTATAATGACACCCGCCACCCTTTCTAAGCATGTGAGAGCGCCTTCAACCCAGAAAGAGATCCAGATGTTATGTGTCTCCTTACACTGAGTGATATGTCCGTCTTAATGCTGTAAGGTAGGTCTTCAAAACTGTTTTCCTGTCTCTCTCTCTTTCTCTCTCTCTCTTTCTCTGTGTGTGTTTAAAATGCTTTTAAAAATCTAAATTAAGAGGTAAAAGTAGAAAATTGGATAGTGTGTGTTAATATGTTTATAAAATAGAAAGTAATTCACATTGGCACATAAACCTAATTAAACAAGAAGCTGTTTATATATGGCAACATTGCAATATTAACTTAAGGCTGCAAACTACTCGCCCTTACTTGAGATTAAGATTCATTGAACTTAATAGGACTTTCTTTTTCCTATTTATATAGAACTTGGTTGTCTATGGGTCAGCTGGAAATACTGCAAACCAGTATTCTCCATTTGCTATTTATACAAATACAATTTAAGTTTTTTAAAAAACCCTAATTTTTAATGTTTCCCATATTCGCTTATATAGAAGTACTTGGCTGGAAAAGCCGATCTTCTTATTTTCTTTTTTCCTGGCTTGTGAAAAATAAGCAGCCCTGCATCTGCTTATGGAGGAAGCATTAACAACACAATCTGCAGAGATAAGAGCCAGGTATTCAAATCCCCTCTGTGTTTCCCAGGAGAGGGGCAAGCAAAGATCACCTACAGTATGCACAGCTGATGGGATTCCCCATGGCCACCTGTAGAGCCATGGGGAAACTGCAAAATCACAGAGAGCCCCCCCCCCTCTTAAAGAGGGACTGGTAACTACTTCTGAGTAGTTTATTCCTGGTAAGTCCTATGAGGGTCACCCAAGAGTATGAATATTTATTCAGGAGCAAGTCCCATTGAGTTCAGTAAGACTTACTCTTATATAAAGGCATGTAAGATTGCAACCTTAAATGTCAGGTCCTTGTGCCAAGAAAACACAGTATTGCCATGTGCATGTTTGTATTAACAAAATAAGTACATGTATGTTTTGCATGCATGGGTACGCGTATATACAAATATTGATATTGTTGTTTCTGCTGCTGCTGTTTTGGCTTACAGTATACACAGCCCTATAGAGTAGACCTTTGGTCTAGATGGGTGGGATAGCAATCCAATAAATAGATGACTGTACTTCCTCTATGATATAGCTGTGCCTTTTAGACACTTTTGCATTTATTGCAAAATAGAGCATTCTCTGGGTGATTTACAACATAATTATGCAAGCAACTCTTTGCTTCCCCTTGAGCTGGTTACCTGAACCTATTGGGATTGAACTCGGGTTCTAAGCAGAGGCTTGGCTGCAGTGTATAAATATATATATCTACACACACACACACGTTCACTTGCTTCTTTTATTTAATATTTTTAGATAATCTTTGAAGGCAGCCAACAAGAAATATAATAATATAAACAATTGAAATTAATACAAATTATATATATGTACCTGAATAAAACTGAATCAAAGTACATTATTTTAAAAGACCCCCCATACAAAAACCACCCACCATCTGAACAAAATTGAATCAAAGTATTTTAAAAGACCCCCATACAAAAACCACCCACCACAAGGTTGGAAGAAAGCTAAGAACAATTCTCCGCAACAAGACTAGATGTCACCCGTGTCCCTCAGATGTACTCTGAAAGCCCAACAGGGCCGAATATAAGGGACCCATTGATGGATGGATGGATGGATTTGAAAAGGACCCAAGGTGGCTTGCAACATTGAAAGACAATATTTACCTCTTCATCTGCTAATGTGATCTGTGCAGTTCTTTGCCAGCAGTGCCCCTCTGCTTTTTACACCGCGCAAATGGGACAGTTGACTACACAAGAGAATAAATGGACACAATACTGACATCAGAAATGGCAACATACAAAAAGCCAGTTTCTCTTTCTTGAAGATGCTGCTGGGTCTGGGGAAGTGGATTGTGGTCCACAAAAACTCATGTGGAAGTAAATCTGTTACTCTTTTAAGATTCCACAGTGGCTTTTCTTTGGTTTTTACATTTGTTCCCTTTTGTTATACGTGATGGAACAGAACAACATAACTGCCTCTTTGAAAATCAATTAGTACAATTTATTTTGCTTCTTGTGGATTAGGTTAAGACGGGAGTGGTGAACCTTTGGCACTCCAGTTGTTTTGTACTTCACCTTCCGGAATCCCAAGCCTGATAAAGGACTGGGGAGCCTGTAGTCTAAAACATCTGGAGTGCCAAAGGCTTGCCACCCCTGGATTAGAGCAAAGATCTATTTGTGACAGTGCTTTAATTTTGGAATGTATTTCAGCCCCGTTTTGGATTTTTGGCGACTGGGATTTTGCTAGGAATTGGCAACACTTGCTTGGGAATCAGTTTCAGCAAGTCTCTCATGCTTAAAAGCAAAGACAGTTGTTTCAAGAAACCTATATTCTGCACTGAGAACCGTTTATTTGTTCACAATTGGTTATATTTTATAGAATTTATTTTCCACTTGCTAGACATGGGAAGGGTAAGAAGAACACTGCTCTGTCAACTTCAAATCATTTTCAGCCACCTATCTGACTGCTAAGATTTCAGCCAGCATTACCCACGTGTTTTAAGGTTTTCTTTCTTCACCCATAAGTGCTCGATACCTGCTTTTATTTACTTTCTTTTTTTGCTGAGAGTTGAATACTACATACATGACTCATTCTCAGTTTTGCACCTTTCCATCATTTTGTGAAATGTATACAGGAAGCTGTCTTACGCTTAGTGTTTGAAGAGGGCTAAGATGCCATCCCACTTCCATTCAGGTGTACATAATAGAGTCTGGCCATTTCCTTTTTATCGCTCCCCGCTTTTTATACTGAGTGAGACCATTTATCTATCTAGCCCAGTGTTGTCTAATTTGAGAGGCATCACCTGCCTTAGGTGGAAGAATATCACTTTGTCCCTCTTACTGGATATCTTCGACTGGAGATGCCAGAGAACCTAGGACCTACTGCATGGAAAAAATATACTCTATCAGGCAGCCATCTTGTCCCTTCCCATAATATTTATAAATGTTCTGAATAAGCTAGCAAATGAATAAGGAAAATGTTATATTTATCAGTTAATTATTTTTAAGCATGTTTATTTCTGATTAATGAATGTATATTACAGCTTTCTACCAAAAATGACCCTCTGGACAATTAATAAAAGAAAGAGAACCAGCCTCATCTTCATTAGCAATGAGTTCTAGAATATGGGCCACTGAGAAGGCCCTCTCTCATCCCTCCACTGGATGTGCCTCCAATGGTAATAAGTCTATGAGAAGGGATTCCCCTCCAAAAATCTTGATAGATTTTCTTTTTGAAAGAATGGCTATTCCTGATTAGCTAGGAGACATAGGACGTGATACCAGAGGCCACACATACAACAAACTGCCTTGATTCTACAAGTAAGGCACCAGATAGTCATAGATTTATTCAATGAATTTCCTGATTATATCTTCAGTCTGAAGTGTGTGAAATGCCTTTTATGACACATGATCTGTCAAGTGGTTCTGTTCACTTCAATCTTGAACCTTCAGCAGGGGTGGGTGCAAGATTTTATACTGCAGATGGCATGAGACAAAGGGGAAGCATTGATGGCAGGTGCAGGTGCGAACAGTTTAATTCACTTGGTAAAAGAAAAGTAAGTTTCTGATCTCTGTTGTAGCAAAGACACGTGACTGTTGTTGATGGTCAGGTTTTTGCAATGGTTCATAGGATGAGGTTTCCCTTCTTTGGAAATGAATTGTGCTTATTTTGTTTATTCTGCTTCTGAGACATCTTGAGCTCTACGTACTTAGTCCTGGCAAGATGGGGTATAAATATAATGAATACTATGTGTGTTTTCTGTGCTGTTGACTCAGAACCGACTTATAGTGATCCTAATAGAGCTTTCAGAGTAAGTGTATTTAAGGACTGTTTTTGCCAGTTCCACTCTGCCAGTGAGTGTCTAGGGACATACAGGGGATTTGAAGCCTGTTCTCCAGAGTGCTAGCCTGTCACTCTGTCCACTACACCACACTGGGAATCCAAGAACTGTACTATATAGAGCCATTGAATGATTAGAAGGGAGGGTTCTGGAACTGATTTTTTTTCCTGGCTAGCGAAAAGCTCAAATAACTTTGGTTTGAGATTTATTTATTTCTAAACAAACATGCAAAGTAAATAAAAAAGCCAGGAGACAGCAGATAAAACTGGCTCAGGAAAAGAAACATTTCCCCCAGAGGATAGCTGCAAGGCCTCACATTTCTTCCATGTTGTAAAAGTTACCTACAGTTCTTACCTGTACCTGAAACGGAGCTGCCTTCCACTTCTTCCAGTATTCAATCTGCTAGATGTTGCCAGCAGGCATTTGAGGGGCAACTCCAAGAAGATGCTTTGAAGGAGGAGGCTGAGTTGCCGTGCACAAAGGAGAATAATATGGTTTCTGAGATAACATTATCTGCCTTTTTATTTTGCTTTTCTAGAGTCGGAAGGACAAGGAAAGGCCTAAGCAGAAACACAAGAAGCATTCAGAATCACCAACTGGTCTCACACTGCCATCCTCTACACCTGTTGTCCCTGAGAAGGTAAGGTGGGGGGGGGAGAGAAGGGATATAAAAAGTTTGCAATGGAGCACTGGGTCTTCTGCTACATCAGCCCAAGGCTGCGTGTTTTTCCCACTTTCTACTAGCCTTTCCTACTTTCTACTAGGCTGTAGAAGTCAGTCTCCCAAACATCTCAAGAAGATTCATACTGTTTTTAAAAGGCTGCAGGTTTTTAGATCTCATGATCATGGTGATAAGTTTGGAAAGATGCATGGTGAAATCGAAGAAGCTTAATGCAAGAATGAGCAGGGCTGAGGTAGTCATTCACCCTGGTGTTTGTCTTCACTCATTCTCCATAACTACCACTTGCACTACTTAAATCTGATAGTATTAGTGGAATTTACAGAGGAGTTGGCTTAACACATACCCATTGATTCAATAGTCTACTCTAATTGTGACATACTACTAGATTTCAGCCACTATGTATAATAATAATAACAGAGCTTAATGAAATTATTTTCTTTTACTTTTTTCTTCTTGCTATGTGCTTATAATGTGTCCTATGGTGACCCTATGAGCAAATGACCTCCAGAAGGAACTCTACAGAGGAGTTGGCTTAACACATACCCATTGATTCAATAGTCTACTCTAATTGTGACATACTACTAGATTTCAGCCACTATGTATAATAATAATAACAGAGCTTAATGAAATTATTTTCTTTTACTTTTTTCTTCTTGCTATGTGCTTATAATGTGTCCTATGGTGACCCTATGAGCAAATGACCTCCAGAAGGAACTCCAGTATCACTGTCCTATGGTGACCCTATGAGCAAATGACATCCAGAAGGAACTACAGTATCACTAATAACTGCCCAGTTCTAGCAAACTCTAGGCTGTGGTTTCCTTTACTGAGTTAATCTATCTCGTATTGGATATTTCCCGCTGCCTTTACCAAGCATTATTATAATTTCTAGTGAACGTTGTGTTCTCATGATATGTCCATAGTACAATAATCTAATTTTAGTCATTGAAGGTATTGGGTTGTTGCTGCTGCTGTTTTGCAACTTTGCATGTTAACTGTAGTTTGTGTGACTGGGAGGGACTTTTCAGGGCTGAGATGGTGGTATATCTATCCAGCACTAACCAATCATTCCTTCCAGCCTTTGAATTCAAAGAGAATTCCACCTCTCTGCTGAGTGTTCTTTTCCCTTTCTGTCCTTGATTGGTGTCAGTTGTTTGTTTGCTGTTGATCTGTTTGTTTGGTTGCTAAGTATGTGTGCAGTAAAGAAAGCAGTATACATTAGTTTGTAATTTCAAGCAATTATTTGTGTGTTTTTTAATTTTTTTCCATACAAATGTCTCAGAGTGAGTTACTGAGACTTTAATTGCCAGTTAATGAGAAAACGTGGATTCTTGGAGAACTTGTAGCTATTCTCCTCTGTGGTCTCTATACTTGTACTGCAACACAAAAGTGAATTTTACCAGAAATTCAAAACTCTGCAATAGAAGGTATGTCTGAAATTTTGTTAGAGTACTACGTAATTTGGAGACTACCTATCAAAACTGTTGTGTTGTCTGTTTTGTGAACCAAGAAAAAACTGATGCATTAAATTCACTTAAGTTAGTGTGGGTGGTTATATTTGCTTGCTAGATTTTGGATGGGCAAATCTGCTTTTCTGAGCTCTGAACAGAGGCAGTATATTTTTGTACCATATTCACACTGCAGAGTTTCAGCTTTTTCCTCCAGACTCAAATTTGATTACCCTGAGGTCAGAAAGAGAATTTTATGCACAACCCTGCAGATATTCCCTGAGGGCAGCATAAAATATGACAGGTAAAAGGAGAGGAAAGATGTACTGGTCCTTCCTCATCTCATGAACCCCAATTAGTTTCAGATCCTAATTGTTCACATTTTCCCCACCCTCCCTATGCTTCTCCACCTCAGGCAGACTCTGGGAGTCCTGGGAATGCCATTTTGCAGCTGTCTGCTGCTGACGACATAAACGACATAAGCGCTGTGCTAAACCCTCCAGTGATTTCAGAAGCATGCCCCAGCTCGCTTTTGAAGCCCATGTTTCAGCTGAGGCTTTCTGTAGCATTAATAACTTAATAGCACAACTTTGCTTGCTCTCTCTCGCTCTCTGTGTGTGTGTGCGCTGCCCACTTGCAGTCTGAGTGAAAGGAGGGGGATACATTTTCTAGGACCATCTCTCAGATTACTTAGCAGCATCAAAACTGGCCTCACAGGCTAAGCAGGAAAATGCAAAGCCTGTGGGAGGAATTCCATTTCCAGGTCTGGCTTTTAAGCCTCAGGCTGCAAAATTTTCATGGCAGACTTGCCTGCTGACTTGAATGCATGTAATTCTGTTTGTACTGCCATTCCTTCCATGTCTGCAGTTGTTCGCTTCAGTAAAAGCCCCACCACCATGTTCAGATTCTCTCCCACAATGGATTTTTGCTCACAGCCATCATGCCTATTTGAATTGGGAGGCTGGAGCCTGACCACATCTTTTAAAAAGGTTATAACTGGCATTCCTTTTCATAGTTACTGTGGGTGCATGCATCTGCTTTGTGACCGAACAGGTTTTGCAGGATTTTAAAACAATAAAAAACCCTGGAAAACCTTTTTATCAGAGGTGAAAGTAGCAGGAATATACAGGAACTTTACCGCAAGCATTAAACCCTCTTTCAGATTACCTTGCTGCATCTCCCATCTTGAGACTGCATAAATATTATAATGCTTTTTGCTCCAGATGGAACTGAATTGTTATGGGCACAATAGTCTTAAATGTTGCATAAGCTGTTTTCATGCATACATATGCTAGGTCTAGATTTCACCTAATACCGCAGGCTTCTGTGAGAATATAGGACATGATTTTCTATCATACTTTCACAAAATGCAGTCAAAGGTAGTGAAGTGCTATGTGCATGCATGACATTTGATAACAGAGGCTACAGTGAAAACGCATTCAACCCAAATTCCCTTCTTTTGATAACAGCAAGGCTAATGCCATAATCTAACTGAATTGCAAGCCTGCATGGTACAATTGGGGAGTTTCAGTCTTTGGACTTTTAATGGTCTTATAGAGGGAAAGCTCTTTTTACAGATTGATAGATGTTATTTCATGCACTTGAATATGTGATAAGCCAGTTGTTCTGCTCCATTTGTGGGCCCTCTTGTTTACATCTGTCTTCAAAGGTGGGGTACATATCCAAGGACCCAAACTCCTGCCGAAATAGCTCCCTGGGAACCTGAAATATTTAAATAAATGGTTTAACTCCGTGAGGATTGATGTGCCTTTGCTTTAAGCGCAGGACTGTTTTGAAAACCCCTCCAATTCAGCATATTGTGAGTCTTTTGCTCATACAAAGAAAGAGGTACAATAATTAGGAGTTGCATACTGGCTGATGTCCAGGATGGGTGTTATATATTCCAGGAATGCCTTTGGCATTCATTCGCTAGAATAGTTTAGGAGGGAAAAAATTGTAGTAATTGAGGCTAGCTGGTTGTGTCCAGCCCACCTTTGTATGCCAGGACTATCAAGCAAAGCGTTTGTTTATCAGCCGCTGTAATGCTCAGACTGGGTATGCTAGCTGGTTGTGTCCAGCCCACCTTTGTAAGCCAGGACTATTTGTTTATCAGCCACTGTAATGCTCAGACTGGGTATGTATTGTTAATTTCATTATTTATTACTCCTAAATCCCATCTTTCTTCCAGTTACCAATGTACTGTACCCAGAACAACAACCTGATGAGGTAATTCAGGCTGAGAAATAATGTCCGTACCCAAATCTCCCAGTGAGTTTTGTGTCTTTGGGGAAATCAGAATCTGTTCCAGTCCAACACTCTAGCCACCATACTACTCTCTTCCTCCAGGTCAGGAGGACTGCTAGTCTGACGCTGGGTCAGTAACGCCAAAGACCATGATCTCAACTCCTTCCGAGAGAGAATCAAGTGATCTCTGAAAGCCAAACTTTATGGCCAGTGTCTGCTATAAAGCTTTCAAGAATTATTGTGTCTCCTCACATGTAGTAGGTTGCTGCTGAATGAAGCTGTTCAGCCAGTCTTCCTCAGCCTATTGCTGTTTATATACAGTGGACCCTCGACTTACAGACGGCTCGACTTACAGGCTTTTCGAGTTACAGACTTCTCTGGCTGCAAAATTTAGATTCGACTTGCAGCCAGAGAATCGACTTACAGACCAGAAAAAAACCAAAATGGAATAAAAATAGAATAAAAACCACTGGTTATGGGATTAATCGGTTTTCAGTGCATTGTAGGTCAATGGAGATTCGATTTACAGACTTTTCGACTTGCAGCCACCATTCCAATACGGATTAATTCCTTAAGTAGAGGGTCCACTGAATTTTTAATTGTAGCTCCTATCAACCTTGATCTTGGGCTACCACATGGGAAGCTCTGCCTTGTCTTTCCTTCGACATACATATGTTTGTAATGTGACTTCTGGGCTCAGTAATCTGAGGGACTAGGTGATTATGACAATGGTGTTTTCCCCTGAAATCCATGGTGCCTATGCCTACAAAGATCTTGAATTTGCGTTCTCCTTAGTTCAATAGAGGCCCCATGTAAGTTCAGTATTTAGAGCATATTAAAACAAAAGACAAAAAAAAAAGCTGGTGAGTTGGAATGGAAACCCATGATAAAACTTACTTTAACTTCTTAAAAACTTCAACTGCCTGACCTTTTTTTACCTTAGACATTCCTCTGTTACTTTTGTTTGACTAATTCCTGAGGAAACTGCCATCTGCTCTGAAATCTCATCTAGTTTAATTAAACTGGATTGTTTTAACTGGATTTTGCCTAATCTGAATATAATCTTGTAGGTTGATTTCATTTAACTCTTTCCCCAGAGATTTATCCCAAAGAGGCATAGTTCACCTGTTCCCCCCCTCCTCTACCTTAAAACAATGTTTATTGAATAAAAATAGAGTTCAATGCCATATAAACACATTTAACAGATATTGAGTTTGCCCATGGATTGATGAGGTCAACCAGTTTAAAGTCCACAACCACTTTATT